ACATCAATCTTGCCATATACCTTTTTTATCTTATTTTTAAATAATTTTGTTTTAAAAATATTTCCTATCACCTGGTCATTCACCAACTTGGAATCTACCCACGACCAAGAATCCTTGGTGGGGATTGTACCACCTATGCGAATATACTGAGCAGTTTATCCTGCTCATTCGAATGTGAGTATTTTTATTCCTTTTATTTCACTTTATTTCATTTTGATTCAGTGAGCACTATATTCTGCTTTTATCTCCTTTTTATTACCGAGGAATTACCTTCACCTATATCCTACCAGTGGGGGATAAACGCCACTGAATGCCCAACATACTAGAGCAAGTTCATGCTCTAAGATAGGTGAGTGTACTACCTACCTATTATTATTATTATTTATCACAGACAGTCTACACTATTGGATCGTCTTTGTTGCTTATATTTTCCATGTTCATCTCTGAATCAAGACTTCTCTAAAGATTAGAAGATTCAGTCTCTTATTGGACTTTCTACCTCCAAATACTTACCGGAACCTGAAAGAGAAATATACCAAGTACTGTCACTATCATCCACTTATTTGAACTTTTTAAATTATATCAAGAATTTGGACTATCTTTTTTTATATATATATTTGTTATATATATTTATTAAATCCCCTTTTCTTTATACATATTATTCCTCTTTTACGTTTTAAAGTGTTTTGCCATATTTATCCCTTTTTCATTTGATATTTACGTAGCGCAACCTATTATTCTTGTTTTTGTTATTTCTCTTTTGAGGACTTCAGAGGGAACCTCATACCTATAGGCTGCAGCTTTCCACTTGATCACATCACACAGCGCTGATCCATTTTCTACCTGCATAGTAGAGTCCAAACCGGTTTGCATCAGGGCGTATAATAAGTACAAGGGGGGTGTTGATTTGGCTGATCAGCTGATGCAGTCATATCTTATTTTACAAAAAAACAAAGCATGGTATAAAAAGGTGGCTATCTATCTGATGCAAATAGCAACCCACAACTAATTTTTGCTTTTTAAAAAAAATAAAAATAAATCACCTTTCTCCAATTTCAGTTGAAAATAATTTCTTTAACAATTTATGGAGATGGACAAGTTCCAACAACAGTGCAAGCTGAGTCCAGACATTTTATTTTTAAGTTACCACCAACTGCTAGAAAAAAACAACCCAGTAACGTTGCCGGGTCTGTTTTAAAAACGCGAAAAGGACAGACACCCATTTTCACTGTCCTGATTGCCCTTCGAAACCAGGACTGTGTGTAGGAACATGTTTCAAGCTATACCACACAGAACAGTTGTAAGAAGTGTTCCTGAATTTTTATTTTATTTTTTGTTTCTTTGGAAAGCAGCCATTTTTTGTTAGTCAGTTTCCTTCCCCCAAATCTCCAGTTAGATTCTGTTTGCCGGAGTCAGTTTAAAGATTGCTGATAAATGTACATTTGCTACCTGCACATTTGGTCTAACAAGTTTTCTGGCAGTAACACATAACCAGCCGGCCAAAACCAGATGACGTGTGCATAAAAACCAGAATAAAAAAATTACCACTACACTTTCTTTGGGGGCAAAATGGTTGGGGGGAAGAAGTCAAAACACCCCATCCTCTATAACCTTTGATGTCTACTTTATAAAAATATATACTATATATACTGTCATGATGGTAACATCAACTGGGGGGTGCAAATAGGTCAAACTGAAGATAGACCAAGCATACCTATATATCAAGTTGAAAAACTGACATGTACAAGTTCTGATTGTTGCCTTTTGACCCACAAACAACCCAGCAACACTATACATAGGGGGTATCACTGTACTAGGGAGATGTTGCTGAACATATTGGGCAGTGTTTGGCAGTGACACATAACAGGATCTGTTAATTCATGCCTAAAGTACAATGTGTGTGACAAAGAAACAAAAAAAGATTACCCAAAAGTTTGACAAAAGCTGGTGGTAGAATCAGTGCAAGAAAAGTGTTAAAATACCACCATTTAAAATACCCTGGGTTGTCTACTTTTCAAAAATATATGGTTTGATGGGGGTAAAATACATTGGTCGGCTTCAAAAATTTCCCAAATAGGACATGCATGCCGGTTGACTACATGTCAAAATTCCAAGCTGGGAAACTGATATGGGCACCTGCAAAATGTGGCTTTTTAGCCCTCAAACAACCCAACACACCTATACATGGGGGGAATCCCTGTACTCGTGAGATGTTGCTGAACACATATTGGGGTGTTGTTTGGCAGTGACACATAACAGGATCTGTTAATTCATGCCTAAAGTACAATGTGTGTGAAAAAAACAGAAAAAAATTTACTAACTCAATGTTTGACAAAGCCTGGTGGTAGAGTTAGTGCATGGAAAGTGTTAAAATACCACCATGTGAAATAACCTAGGATGTCTATTTTTCAAAAATATATGGTTTGATGGGGGTAAAATACATTGGCCAGCTTCAAAAATGTCCCAAATAGGACATGCATGCAGGTTGACTACATGTCAAAATTCCAAGCTGGGAAACTGATATGCGCGCCTGCCAAATGTGGCCTTTTAGCCCACCGACAACCTGACACACCTATACATGGGGGGTATCCCTGTACTCGGGAGATGGTGCTGAACATGTATTGGTGTGTTGTTTGGTAGTGACACCTAACAGAATCTGTGAATTTATACCTGAATTGCAATGTATGTGAAAAAAATAAAAAAAATAAAACTACCTATGCAAAGTTTGGCAAAGGTTTGTGGTAAAATGGTTGCATAGAAAGTATCAAAATATTCTTAGATGAATACCCTGGGTTATCTAGTTTAAGAAAAATATATACATGTGGGGTGTTTTTTGGAGATTTGTGACATAACAGTGTTACAATGTCACTATTGATACATTTGAAAAATGTACGTTTTGAAACAGCAATTTCCTACTTGTACTTATAGCCCTATAATTCGCAAATAAAAGCAGAAAAAAAATGTAAACATTGGGTGTTTTTAAACTCAGGACAACATTTTGAATCTATTTAGCAGTTTGTTTAATTCGATTTTGTAGATCAGTAAAAGATTCTTTAAGTAAAAGTCAAAAAAAGTATTTTTTTAATTTTTCACCATATTTTATTAATATTTTTTAATTAAATCATACGACATGATAAAAATAATAGTATGTAAAGAAAGCACTTTTTGTCCTGAAAAAAACAATATATAATTTGTATCGGAACAGTAAATGATAGAGCGGAAAATTACAGCTAAACACAAACACCACAAAAGTGTTAAAATAGCTCTGGTCCTTAACGTACAAACATCGCAAAAACAGTCCAGTCCTGAAGGGGTTAAGGAGACTATGCTTTCACTTTTGATGTAAACAAAGACCACCCTTGATTGGTTGATAATGCCATTGATGTATACACACCTAGACAAATGTGTCTTATATATATTTTATATCTGTGCAACAAACTTTGAATGCTTGTTTGGCACTAACTATGAGTATTGTGGTTACTTAAATGTTCCCCAGCGATGCCGAGAGCAAAAAGGAACACAGAAATAGATTCTAATCTAAAGACCATGGCAGTGTAGGGGTGTCAAATGCTCTGTGGTAACTTCTCAGACCTAACACTTACCTAAAAAATAAAAAAGGGCACCTACCAACCATACAAATGCAAAAAAAAAAAAAATGCTAGACACGTAACATAAAGCTCTAACAAAATTGGATAACATACAGCACAAAATGTATCTACAATGCGGACACTTGACTACATTTTGATAATATTACTGACTGCATGGACCTAAGAAGGTTCTGGAATTGCTCTCTCTTTTCACTATACTTACCTAGGCACCCCCTCAAAACCTTCTCAATACAAATTAACCCTAAAAGGGGAACTTTCAGTGATCTTGAGCAGTAAATTAGGACTGTGCAATATGTTTATATGTGTACACGTTACTTGGAATGTGCTCTATAGATCAGTTTTTTGTCCAAGGAGCTAAGACCACCCTGAGCTGAAATATTGACACAAATATGGCTGCCGTGTTTAAACCAAGTCAAATAAAAATCATTCCAAAAAAAACACAAACTAAAAATGCAAACTATGTTAAACCACTTGAGATAGAATAACCCTACATATAAGATATGTGTGATTTTACTTACTTTTCCTTTGTAGAAAGATAGTAATCTTTTTCTGTGACTTTCCTGAAATTCTAGAACCTACAACACACAATGTATTAGAGAATAGCAATAACAGATGCATCATACAAAATAATGCTGAATGTTAAACTCACTTCAACTTGTGATCAAGATAACATAACATACTTGTATGCAAACTGTGCCCAATCTTGAAATATGCACTCAGTAAAAGTAGGGGGAATATGTTTTGTTTACTCCACACTATGCATTTTTCTCATTGCATTTGTCTTGTTGTAGAGGGTATAATAAGAGTACAGCCGGTTGATCACTACTACATGTTTCCTATGTATTCCATTGTTAGCAATGAAAGCTATTGCTGCTAATTGGTAACACCATTAGCAATCAAAAACATGCAAATAACCAACCAGAAACATATTCTTGCAGTAAGGATAAATTAAATACATAGAAAGAATCCCTAAAGTATTAGAGTTGTCCAAACAATTCAAGGTTTTAAGCCCTTTAATTTGACTGAACAAAAAGAGAAAAGCTATGGATATGTTATAGATAAAACAACTTTTATTCCATCTTTAAAAATTATTAACATATGTTACTAATAAAATCAACCTTAATATTCTTACCTTATAAGTCAATATAGGAGCTCGCATTCGCTTAGAGTTGGGACATCTATTCATCCTGTAAGTCTACCGAGGGTGATTTACTTCTATAGTAAACTCAACTTTTAAGCATTTCACATTATAGTTTATCTCTCATCAATAATAACCTAGTCTGTCATTAGGTGATGCTATAACTTGTGCATTATTACAAAAAAAAGCACATTCAAGGGGGAGGGACCTGACCTTTTTGTTGATACTGTCAACACTAATTTGGTACGATACTACTTTGCTAACTTATCTCATGCCTGGGGCTCCTACTCTGCTATCATGGAAACCAGTCATTTGCTGGATGAACCGCTGGGGCGATTCTGCGGAATGGCAACATGAGAGTGAGGGAGGCGGCTGATCCCTCACCCAACAATCTACCAGTGGAAGCCACAGTGGACTGCCCTGTTCCCACCCCTGCCAGTGAGGGATACCCTGGAACTTTAAGCTACCTATCAACTGGGAATGATCTGAGCACACTCCGACAAGATCAAAGGGACTAGCAATAGCATCTAAAATGGCACTGAAGATCAACTCCACGAAGCATGTGAGGCCTCACCCCGACTTTCTGTCAGCATTTGATAGCATATGTGCAGCATTCTGGGAACGGCAGAGGCAATGTATGGATCCCAGCTCGAAGAACAAGAACACACTGGGCGCTGATGCTGCAAATTGGCCCAATATCATTCCCACTTAACCTGTGCCAGAGCTACCAGACAAGCTCATGGAGGTACACCACGCAGGGCTGAGACAGAGCCCTTTGATACCCCCAGAAGTGTGGAATGCTGACAGTAGGAAAGGCATATGTGCCTGTAAGAGAAAATGGATGAGGCGTCCAGGAGGCAAAAAGCAGTGCGGGCCATGCCCCACCTAACTCTGACTCCCCAAAAGGGACTGTTCTGGGGTAAGTTTACTTCTATGCACTGATATACTTGAATGGAGCTCCCACTGGTTGTTCTCTGAAGTTTCTCCACCTGGAAGAGCTCCCCCTCTGCTTCACGTGGCACAACACTGATGTCAGCCTCGCGAAGAGGCATTGGCTGAGTGACTAAACTAATTTAGGGTTCTTCACTAATGCAGCTTCACCTGGGACTATCGTCCCAAACATAGTGCCCCTAGAGACTACAATCCAACTGTTTTCTAAACCCTTTCATGTGACCCGCAGGGGTGTTTAATTTCCAATGCACTGTCTGAATGAGTTTTGCCACAATTGATATCCTGTTTGCTGAGCCATTGCAGCCTTCTACAACTTACTGTTAGCATCTGCTTTAAGTCTTCTATGTGCATAAACTGCAGCCTACTTACTTAATTTTGACCAGGAGATAATCTTACCTTCGCATTTCATGTTCCACTTATATTCCTCTCTATACTGTTCATATTTCTATCTTATGTCAGTACTAACTTGGCTATGTACCATTGCGCTTCATAAAACAAAGAATGGAAATAAAAAAGCACATTCAGTGTTACCACTGGAATGCATTGAGTTTGAACAATGTTTTGCAGGAAAAACAGGTATTCAACAATCTGTGAATCTACGTCTTAAACATACACAGGGTTATTTACTAGAATAAGAATTCAAAGTTAATTTAAAGTGAATTTCAAATTTCAGGCTTATTCACTAGTATTCGAACTAGAAGTAAAGCTGTCTTACTTATCCAGTTTAGCTATTTTGGTCTTAAATTTGAAATTCACTTTGAATTAATTCAGTGAATAATCTTGAGAGTTTACCAACTAAAATACAAAAAAATATACAAGGCAAATGCAGTTTTCTGGTAATATGAACTTTTTTTTTAAATTTATCACTATGTTGAATTGTAGAGCATCCAAGTAGAATTTTAGAGCATAATCTCACATGTTAGTACTGTATGTAGTAGCTGCATGCTAATTAAGAAAGGCCACAACTTATTAGAATAATTTCTGTTAAGCATAGTTTAGTAATAAATACTTACTTGAGTAAATTCTTTTGAAAACTTTTTGCAGAGTACATTAATATCCACGAAAAGTAATTTGACATCAGGACTTGTCTGTGAAAAGAAATGTGTTTTCTAGACAATTGATAGGTAAATAAACGTTTAATTTACCTACCACTTTACTGTACATCATCACTATGCATATGTTTCTAAGCAAAAAGAGTAAATGCAAGCCGATGGTGACATATTTATAATTTACTAACTAGGCCTAGCTCAGCAAATTTAAGGGAGGGGCATTTTAATCATAGGTGTAACTAAACAAATTCTTCTAAAGCAAAGCACCTGCCTGCTTTCTTGCAGAAATATCTATTTTTTACACTTACACTTCACCTCCTTGTCCATTTGGCACACAAGCAATGTCTCATCCACAGCATTGCTACCTACCACCAATTAGTTTAACTCATTATGTGTGCAGAACCTCATATTAAAAGTGAAAATGCAAGTCTAACTTTGTGTCAATGAGTCCTTCAGTATTATTCACTATAGTCAGAATGCCCCAGTTCCACATATGCAAAAATCATCAAGATGTGTCTGGGGGAATTTAGACAGCAAATAATAGTAATAAATGGGGTTATGCCATTTCCCCCCTAATCCCTAGCCATTAAAAGCAAATTACGGTAATAAGTTGTCCCAAGCCCCCAGAATCTTTCTCTTTAAATATATAGCCACCTACCCCCTCACATTAAAACCTGTAAAAGGAAGATTTGTAAACTAGCAAACTGAAGTGCTTTTTTTCAATAAAAAAAAAAGTCAAGTATAAAAACACATGGATGCAAAAACAGAGAATATGGGGGGCAGGGCCTGATGGCCATTGCAGCCAGCCAGACTGCTTTTCTCGCAGCTCTCTCTTATCCTGGCTGAATCCAGCAAATATCACTGTTTTTACAGCCCATCCACCCACTTCTCAAAATTAGTGGATTTCAAAACTGAATGCTTCTAGAAGGTGACTGATGTGCCCATTTTTGCCCTCTGATTATTTATCTCTTCCCTGACTTGTTGTGGCATACTGAATGCCTGCAGCCTTACATCTGTATGATCTCATCAGTGCTTCACTGGGACCTGAAGTTGCTGGACATGCTGGGGACATCTGAGAGATGTCACCTACAAGAGAATTGAGGGCTTTATAGAGGTGGCTGTGGCCCCTTCCTCCCCCCCTTCTGGGACAGGAGGGTTATCTTGGCCAATCCTGTTGCTTGGGGCCCGTCTGTCGTACTTTACTACACAGTCCCTTGCCTTTGCTCTAAAGTTCTGGAAGCACTCAGCATCAGCCTCACACCTCTGGCTCTTGGGCATGCTCTCTGTGGCTCTGCAAATAACAGTAATAAAGGTACCCCATATTGCGGCCCGAACTGCCCTTGTCACCCATGCTTGTGGGGAGCCAGGAGACCCGCTTACTCTACACTGTAGGCCCCACACTCAGTGGCAGGGGCATCCGACGGACGGGTGGTCGGTTGTCCAGGACCTCGTTGACCAACGATGAGGCTGGCGAGGAGGAGTGCCTGGCAAGGAATCCGGTGATGCCCCAGAGTTATTTCCGCCCACCATGTGGAGAGTGTCGGTGGTTGGAGTTGTCCAGGTCTTAGGGAGCGATCTTGGATCTGCCATGGCTTACCTAATGCCTGCTGGGAGGATGGATCCACTCTGGAACTGTTCCTCAGATCGGGACTTTGCCAAGTTCGGTTCAATCTTTAAGCGTGTGTCACTGAGCCCACCCGACCTCCAAATAGAGAGCTATTTGGATGGGAGGTTGGGGAGGCAAGGAAGCAGAGGATACCTGGGGCTTGAGAGGCCAGAGGTCCGCGAACCATTTTTTTCTGGAGACTGGGACTAAGCCGCCGCACGCCTGGATCTCCTCGACGGTTCCGAGAATAGTCGCAACCCTGTAAAATGTTAACATGCTGTAACTCGGGCACAGATTATCCGATTACGGCACTATTTGGACAGCGAGGGCACTCTGTGTGGGGGAAAGGCTTTAATCACTGCTTTACAGGAGAGAATGACTCCAGAGCTATAACTGCTGCAGCTTGGTCCACTGGAAGAGGTCCTCAGGGGACTTTCAGCTTCTGCGACTGGATCTGAAGAATGCCAGGGTCCCCTGGTAGTAGCGAGAATGCTGACCTGGTGGAGGTACTCAGTCAGAGTCACAGACAAACACTCAAATATGCATTTTTTTTACTGTAGCAAGAGAGAATAGAAAAGACTGTATGGAATGAGAATAGGAAATGTGACTCAGTAGAGCTGTAAAGCAAAGGATATTTGCTGTGGGGGATGCAATTGTTAATTTAGCATTAGTGATCACAAAAATAAGAGCCATAAATTAGAAGGATGGGGCTGGATGACAATACAAATTAGGCATGTAAAAGTGTAATTGCACAGAAACACAGGATGAGAAAACTAATGATTTTGTAAAACAGTTAATGACATGAGAATACTAATAACCCAAAAGAAGAATGGAGACATAATATTTGAGGGGTTTACAGACACAAAGACCTAAACAAACCAAAGAGATACACATGTAAGCAAAATGGGAGAAACGGTTAATAAACCAGTATATTTAAAAAATACATCACATAATCAATGAAAGCAATGTTAAAAAAGAAAACCTGGTTGTTAAGTAATATTGTCCGGCAAACAGATTTGCATACTGTGCACACGTCATTTGTTCCTGTAAGGAAAACAAACATTTAGCCAAAAAAAGCACACACATTTTTATTGGCTACTAGTATTTGTTCTGAATGACATATTAAACTGATATGAAGTACCAGGAAAATATTTAACTTATAAGTTAAAACTAACACCAGCATTTCTTGATGTCACCTAATACAGAGAGAGTAAGCAGGCAACAAACTTACAAATACATGGTAAATAAAACAGTGTGCAACATTCTTTTTTTTTTTACTTTTTTTTTTATAATTTGTATTTTATTTGAGTTTGAATACTCGAAATACAGCATTGCCGCAGTATGCAGTTAGGAATAATTTGTCGTCAACATTAAACATAAATAATACGTAACTTTAAGAAGTTGCCAAGATGGTTATATGTCTGATATTATTGTGTACATACTATGTGTAAATGGCAGTATAAGCACTATGAACAATCTACAGGAACTGTCTATATATGCGTATCAACTTTGCGGTGTCAGAGAGGTCAGTATTTGTAGTGGGTGGTCTGAGTCCGAGTTTCATCGCAGGTGCTTGACGTCTGCGGGGGGCCCAGATATGGGGTATGTTAGCTTTGCAACATTCTTTGGCCTTAGTTGGCCATTGTTTCTCAAAATTACACTCATTTTCAGAGTTATACATGTGGAAAAGTATGGACTCATTGTCCTTGTGTATTGTCTGCTGTTTGAGAAAAGTTGACAAAAAGAACTACTCTAGTACAGCACTACTAGGTTTAGCCCAGCTTCCAGCTGGAGGAGAGGCAGGGAGCGGTGCTTGGTGGAGCCCAAGTAAGAAGTTAAAACAGTACAGTCATGGTAATTAAAGGACCACTATAGTGCCAGGAAAACAAACTCGTTTTCCTGGCACTATAGTGCCCTGAGGGTGCCCCCACCCTCAGGGTCCCACTCCCGTGGCGCTGAAGGAGGAGGAAGGGGTTAATCCCTTACCTTTTTTCCAGCGCCTTGAGGACTCTCCTCCCTCTTCTGACGTCACCGGCTGAATGCGCTTGCCGTGCACGCATTCAGCCAGTCCATAGGAAAGCATTCTCAATGCTTTCCTATGGACGCTGGCATCTTCTCACTGTAAAAATCACAATGAGAAGCACGGAAGCGACTCTAGCGGCTGTCAATGAGACTAGAGGCTGGATTAACCCTATTGTAAACATAGCAGTTTCTCTGAAACTGCTATGTTTACAGCAGGCAGGGTTAATCCTAGGTGGACCTGGCACCCAGACCACCTTATTAAGCTGAAGTGGTCTGGGTAGCTATAGTGGTCCTTTAATGGTTAGACTATATACATTGGGGGTGAAGGGGGAGTGCAAGGGCACTGCTAGCACCATAACCACTACATCCAGCGCAGTGGTTATGGTGCTGGGAGTGTTCCTTTAATTTAGGGTTCTTTTGTAATCTGACATTTTACTGATAGGCAATGTATGGGCCATGCTGCTATACTGTACCAGTAAATCCCAGCTCCTAGCTATCTGCATATTGAGACCCACTCCCTCCCCCCCCCCCACTAGTCTAGTTACCTCTCTGCAGACACAGCTCGCACAGCACATGGCCGCAGCTGGTCAGAGAGAAGCTGGCAGCCTCCCTGGCCGGATGCCGATAGCAGATATTACAGCGCAGCGAGGACGCCATGTTGGCGGAAATTTTCCGCCTTATTTTTCTTCCTGTGAGGGAGATGAATGATGGTGGCGGCCAGTTCCTATCCAGTAGAAGGACCCTGGTGACATCACCAGACCATGTGACTGCTTGGTCACATGGTACAGAGAGCTACAGGAAGCAGCAAAGCGGGAAATCCAAATGAATGGGATGGACTGAGCTGTGCTGATCTCTGCTGCTGCTGCTGCTGGTGGTGTGAGAGTTCTGATGGAACATTGAAACATGGAAACATCTGATGGAGAATATTATGGAGAATGAAGATGAAAGAGATCTTTCAGAGAAGTCACTTTTATTTCATATTTATATAGTTTTATATATTTTTTTTGCCAGATAATTATGCAGTTATGTTAAACCCTGTATTTTAAATCTCTTTTTTGTCTTTAATTGTAGATATTAATCACTGTCCAACTGTGTTTTACAGAATACATTGATTATAATGGGACTTTTATATTTGTGTCTTTCTTTCTCTCTCCCAACTCTCTCTGATAGCATGTTATATTAACCCTTTTATCCCCACTGACAGTGTGTCTCTTTCCCATCCCCTCAGTGTGAGTGTCTCTCTCCCATCCCCTCAGTGTGAGTGTCTCTCTCCCATCCCCTCAGTATGTCTCTCTCCCATTCCCTCAGTATGTCTCTCTCTCCCATCCCCTCAATGTGTCTCTCTCCCATCCCCTCAATGTGTCTCTCTCCCATCCCCTCAGTGTGTCTCTCTCCCATCCCCTCAGTATAACTCTATCCCATCCCCTCAGTATGTCTCTCTCTCCCATCCCTTCAATGTGTCTCTCTCCCATCCCCTCAATGTGTCTCTATCCCATCCCCTCAGTATGTCTCTCTCCCATCCCCTCAGTATAACTCTATCCCATCCCCTCAGTGTGTCTCTCTCCCATCCCCTCAGTATGTCTCTCTCCCATCCCCTCAGTGTGTCTCTCTCCCATCCCCTCAGTGTGTCTCTCTCCCATCCCCTCAGTGTGTCTCTCTCCCATCCCCTCAGTATGTCTCTCTCCCATCCCCTCAGTATGTCTCTCTCCCACCCCCTCGGTGTGAGTGGGTCTCTCTCTCCCATGCCCTTGGTGTGAGGGGGTCTCTCTCTCCCATGCCCTTGGTGTGAGGGGGTCTCTCTCTCCCATGCCCTCGGTGTGAGTGGGTCTCTCTCTCCCATCCCTTCAGTGTGAGTGGGTCTCTCTCTCCCATCCCTTCAGTGTGAGTGGGTCTCTCTCTCCCATCCCCTTGGTGTGAGTGTGTCTCTCTCCCATCCCCTTGGTGTGAGTGTGTCTCTCTCCCATCCCCTCGGTGTGTGTGTCTCTCTCTCCCATCCTCTCGGTGTGAGTGTTTGTCTCTCTCTCTCTCCTATCCTCTCAGTGTGAATGTGTGTCTCTCGCCCTCTCATCCCCTCATTGTGAGTGTGTAAGTGTTGCCAGAGCAACGCTTCTGACATGCATTACATGCCATGTGTAGTGTTGCCATGTCAACCTGCGGCAACGCTCACACAGTTCGCGAGAAGAGAGGACCTGATGCTACAGGAGGTGCAATATTACACTTCTGTGTCCCTTCTTCAAAGGACACCGTATGCTGTGCCACCGGACCACCAGGGAATCCTGTGTGCCCCCCACCCTGAAACAGGTAAGAGGCAGGGAGGGGGAAAAAAACTAAATTTATAAAATATTTAAAAAACTACTGTCCCCTCAGAGCCCTTATACAATCCCACTGCACTACATTCACTAAACATAAAGACTTTCTATCCACTACCCACACACACAGACATTGCATCCACTATACACAATGCATTCACTACACACACTGTATAACCTAATGGATGTGCGCAAAGCTTTTTTTGGGGGGGTCAGCATTTCATTCTTGGCTTCTTGGGCCGGCCCTGCTCAGCCACTCACAGCAAATATCTCTCTCCCACCCACGCACAGCCAGTGTGTCTCTCTCCCACCCACGCACAGCCAGTGTGTCTCTCTCTCACCCACGCACAGCCAGTGTGTCTCTCTCTCACCCACGCACAGCCAGTGTTTCTCTCTCCCACCCACGCACAGCCAGTGTGTCTCTCTCTCACCCACGCACAACCAGTGTGTCTCTCTCCCACCCACGCACAGCCAGTGTGTCTCTCTCCCACCCACGCACAGCCAGTGTGTCTCTCTCCCACCCACGCACAGCCAGTGTGTCTCTCTCCCACCCACGCACAGCCAGTGTTTCTCTCTCCCACCCATGCACAGCCAGTGTGTCTCTCTCCTACCCATGCACAGCCAGTGTGTCTCTCTCCCACCCACGCACAGCCAGTGTGTCTCTCTCCCACCCACGCACAGCCAGCGTGTCTCTCGGTCCCACCCACGCACAGCCAGTGTGTCTCTCTGTCCCACCCATGCACAGCCAGCGTGTCTCTCTCTCTCCCACCCATGCACAGCCTGTGTGTGTGTGTGTCGCTCTCTCTCCCAGCCACGCACAGCCTGTGTGTGTGTGTGTCGCTCTCCCAGCCACGCACAGCCTGTGTGTGTGTGTGTCCCTCTCTCCCAGCCACGCACAGCCTGTGTGTGTGTGTCGCTCTCTCTCTCCCAGCCATGCACAGCCAGTGTGTGTGTGTCGCTCTCTCTCCCAGCCACGCATAGCCGGTGTGTGTGCGTCGCTCTCTCTCCCAGCCACGCACAGCCAGCGTGTCTATCTCCCAGCCACGCACAGCCAGTGTGTCTCTGTCCCACGCATTCCCCTCCTGCCAATCATTTCATGTAGTGTGGCCAAGGCACCGCAGTAGAGAATCTTCTGTATCCTCTACCCAGTCTAACAGGAAGTGCTCCCAGACAGAATAGTTCACTTGACCACGCTACAAGTAGGAAAGGTGGCACTGCAGAAGGAGGAAGACAGCAAAAAGAGGGGACGGACAAAGAGACACACAGCGGACTGAGGGTGGACAAAAAGACACAGAGTGGGGCAGGGGTGGCAAAGAGATACACGGGGCAAAGTGACACACAAAGAGGCTTTGGCGGCAAAGACACAAACAAAGGGTTTGGCGGGGACAAAGAGACAAGGAGGAGCACACTTAGAGGGGCTTAGCTAAACAAAGAGGCACACAGAAGAGTTGGGGGGGGGATATAAAGACACACAGGGCTGGAGGAACAAACAGATACACGGAGGGGCAAAGAGACACATGGAAGGACAAAGACATACAAAGGGGGCTGCGGGGGCGCAAAGAGACAGTGGGGCTTTGGGGGGACAAAGACACGCAGGGGCAAAGAGACAAACTTGGGGGAACAGACACAAAGGGGGTCAAAGAGGCACACAGAAGGGGTGGGGTGTCAGACACAGAAGGGCTTAGAGAGAAAAAGACACACATAAAGGAGCTTAGAGGATAAAAAGAAACACAGAGAAGCAAAGAGACACAGGGCTGAGAGGGACAGAGAGACACACAAAGCTGGCGATTTTAGTTTTTTTGGGGGTGATGCAAGTATCTGGTCTTGTCTAGGGTGCAAAAGACCACATCACTGTTTTATTCAGGGGCACTTATGCCCCGAGTAAGGGACCTAGCAACTTGGTCTAAGCTTGCTCTCAAACTCTGTTAACAAATAAATCGTATAATTTTAACTCTATATTTATGAAAAATATCTCTTAAAAATAAATGTTTACTAATCTAATGTCCACTCATCATTGAGTGTTGTATCTCATGTATTTGTGTATATGTCTTTACCACCCACCTATCGTATGTGTGAGCGCCCATTCCTTGCGGACTGCCTGGGAGTGTGCGTTGCTACTCCCATCTGCAGGTCAATCCACTTTGTGCAAAGTGCATGTGCTCAATGTATCACCAAAACTGTCCAATAAAATTCTCTCAGGGGGACTCCGTATAGTCTACCTCCCTTGAGAAGCATAATAATCATACTTTTTTTAAAGTAAGTATTTTAAAAATGAAATAAATGTTTTTTACTACTGCATGTTGGAACTTTGGGGGAGAGAGAGAGAGAGACACTCACATATTTTTTTTTTTAACATAATTAGTTAGATTTTCTGTAATATAAATATATATTTTTAATTTAACTTTTATAATTTATATCAGTGTTCATTCATTCTGGAGTTATCCTTTTTAATATGTTTATGGGAATAGAATATAAGAAAGCAACAACTGTACATGTTTCACAATGTTAAACTTTATTCCTGTTTACTTTTAATAAAAAAGAAATTTAAATTAAAATCTGTTTGTTTCCTTTTAACTATATGCCTATACTGTTTTTCTTCTCGTGTGGGAAACCATGTTGGTTTCTGTAGCGGGCCGAGGGTAACCCAACTGGTTACACCAGCTAATGCAGAATGAAGAGACCCAGTAACTGGACGACACACTGTTCCAGGGGTACAACAACCACTGTATTTGGCCACACAAATGCTCCCCCTGGATACTGTTCGTCTATACGAACGGCGGCCACACAGGGAAGCACTCATTAATTACTTCCCTTGTGGTTTCACATTTATGTTGCGAGTTGCCAACGTTCTAATTGATTGGTGTGAGCACGCCAGGGAGCATTGGAATCCGCAAATGCTCCCCATGGATGGTGTTCGTCTAATGAACGGGCTGCCACCCAGGGTCTGTGGTTTTGACACCTCATAACGTGGTTTGAACGTTCTACGACAAAATTCTAAATGGGGTTTCGTGGTGGTCCCTGTTAAGGAGGTGAACGGAACCTGTTCGGATGGCGCTCCCGAAAGGGGAGCAGGCAAAGCATATGAATACAGGGCAAAACATGGGGAATAGCAATTCACGGACAGGAACAGTCCACCACAACCAAACAATAACTTTTTAGTCACATGGGTATATTAATCTAATAGATTAAATCAAGACTCAACAAAGCCCAGGTGCCAGATCGCCATGGCGACTAGGAATTTTCTCTTGGCGCTTGGGTATTTGTCAGTGTGTTCAGGGGGCTGGGGGATAATGGAGGCGGTGGCGAAGGAGCTGTGATCTTGTTTCTCTGCTGTGATGCCGGAAGCCGGCCTGCGAGGAGGCAGAGCAACCCCACACTGGACCCAAGGGAAAGGAACGTAGGGTGGCTGGGTGCCATTAAATTAAAAAACTAATAATGAGAGAATGTGTGTGTGCGCCAGTATTATTATTAGTATTTATAAATCCCCAACAAATTCCACAGCACTGTACAATAGGTGTGTGTCTGTCAGTGAGTGTCAAATTAGTGAGTGTGTGTCTGTCAGTAACTGAGTGTGTGTGACTGGCGCCCTCACCTTTTTTCCCCACGCTGTGTTGGCTCGCAGTGGCTGGCCCAGCCTCAATGGCTAATAATCATTCTTGATGATCTCAACCAGTCCATTGCGTCCCATATGATGGCATTAGGAGACTACTGCGCATGCGTGGAAAAAATGCCTCACTGCGCCAATCAGCATCTACTCATAGAGATGCATTTTTTCTCAAAAGGCAGTGTTTACATTGAAAACCCTGCAGGGACAAGCTATAGACACCAGAATCACGATATTAAGTGTTGGAACATGTCCTGTCCTTGACGATCAGCAGAATTACCTGCCATGGTCTTATAGTTCAAACCAAACTGTACCACGACCTCAAGTATTTGGAGACACTCTTGAGAGACCATACAGAGGAGTCTGATTCAGAAAATGTCCAAAATGTATTAAACAGAACACTGCTTATAAATCTTATGCAATAAAGGGGGGGGAGGGGGTCTAGTGGGAGTATCATTAATTACCAATCAAATATTGACAACTATTAACTAACAGCTTGGAAAGGTTGTGCAGACAGCATAAAATGTGCAACAAATTGATTCTAAGTTTATCTAGGGGGCATTACTAGGCAGGGTGTTCTTAGAATAGGAGGGTGTAGCGATAGGGTCTTACTAGAAGAGGGGGAACAAAGATGGTCATGTGCCATACTACGTATGTGACGTCCTTTCAATGTACAAGGTTGTTACTCTTATGATTCAGCTGAACAGAAATTAACCACTTCATTAAGCTGTAGTGGTTCTGGGGCCCATAGTGTCCCTTTAAGAATTATATTTTTTGTTGTTGAAAATATAGCTTTGTTAGTTTTAGAAAAAACAACAACCTGACTTCTAACTAACCGCGGATTAAGTCCACATAGTAGCAGGTGTGGTTTGTGAAATAGGAGCCCGGGCATAAGATGCTGCCTTCAAAGTATTGTGTAGTGGACATGTTCAAAGGTGATGTGAACTAGCACAGCTGTGTATTGTCCTAAAAGCAAGGTAGAATATCAAAAAAAAAGGTCAATAACTGCATTTTTCTCCTGCTAGATGTTTAAAGACCACACAGTTTAAGGTGGAAGGGCACAGTGAGTCCAGGGTAGATGGAAGAATATTGAATAAATAAAATGAAAAGAAATAATTAACAATTTTTCTATAATATTTCTATATTTTCAAAGCATGTCAAGCAGATGTGAGTAGTAAACACAGTACCATATACCCATTCCGCTTTACAAAGTGTCAGATAAAATAAATCAGTTTTCTTTATTTTTCACAATCTTTGGCTAACATGTCCTTATCAAAGTGTATAAAAATACCCATAAAAAAAAAAAAACACAAGTCACTACAGCCAACTGACAACAAGCTGCCACAGCCCTTGCAAAATAAGCAACAAAATGGCCTACACCAGCCTATAAATGGCAAACCATTGCAAAAGAAGATTGTGTTGTTTTTTTTTTTTAAATATGTAAAAAAGTATTTAATCTGTAAAACATACTGTTGCCTAGGAAAAAAGTTAATACTTGAGTAGGAGATGTAGCGGAACGCCAATAATAAATCCACGAATTCCGCTGGTCCAGAAACGAATCCACAGTCAAGCACTGAAAACAACAAGGCAATATCCCCAACCTCCCAATAACCGGACGAGACACAGTTTTGGGAGTCAACTTACAACCTTTTAATCAGCAGGACAATTTATACAAGTCCCCATGCAAGGGGTTTCCTGAGTCCCTCCCCAGGGGCACTCCCAGAGGGGACTACATGGGGGACTTACAGTACAGCATATTTCTCCCATCAGGCACTGCTGCACGAGAGGGATCATCTTCCCAGAATGCACCGTTAAGGGGATTATCCCCTCGTGCAGCAGAACCGACAATTCATATAAAAATCCATAACTTGGTGAATATACAGTGGATTTACACGAATGGACGTTCGGTAGATAGCTGGGGTCTGAGGGTATCATTCGTGAGATTACCGCTCAGATCCCAGCTAAAATAACCGAACGCCGCACGAACAACACAATTCGTATAAAATATATAAAAAGAACCGATTGCATTAGGGAACAAAATACCGAATGTCCCGAAACTCCCGAACGTCCTGGAGGTTCAGCGGGGCTCATGCCGTCGGGTAGCCGTTTTTAGTACCAGGCGCTCGACGACATAACCCCGCTGAGGGAACAAAGGATCCAAGATGGCCGACCGCCGTATGGTCAGTAGTCGAACGACGGCCACCCAGGAGAGCCTCAAATTACCGATTGCAACATTGTTGCAATCGGTTAACTAGCGCCACACGCCTCTAAGTGTGTGGGCTATTAGGGGGTATCGCGTTCGTTTCACGAACGGCCCTCCAAAGTGCCGTTCGTGAAACGAACGGAATCCCCATACAAACGCCATTGGCATTCGGCGAAACAGGTAATTACAGTCTCTGCAGAAAATACATCAAGCACATACATAAGAATAAAGCGCATATCTCCAGACCGATAGGCAACCCTTAAAGGCACAGTCTCTAGTTATTGTCCAAGTGGCTAGGTTTGCCACAATGCTCCCCCAGAACCAAGCCGGCATACACAGCCTGATCCCAACGGATCGGCTTGGGGATGTCCGGGGGAGTGCTCACAGATCACTTCTCAAGGTCTGTTTGTCTGGACAACCCGTCGTCATTACCGTTTTGTTTCCCTGGGCGGTAGTGTATCGTAAAGTCAAAGGGCTGCAGCGCCAAACTCCAGCGCAGCAGCCTGGCATTGTCTCCAGCCACACGGTTTAGCCACACCAACGGGTTGTGATCTGTGAGCAAAGAAAAGGGTTGCCCATAGAGATACGGTTGTAACTTTTTCAGGGCCCACACCACGGCCAGGCATTCTTTTTCGATGGCGGCGTAGCTCACTTCTCGGGGTAACAATTTCCGGCTCAAATATGCTACGGGATGTTCTCCACCATCTGCTCCGACCTGGCTCAGTACTGCTCCCAATCCAAACATTGAGGCGTCTGTGTGGACAAGAAAACGTTTAGTTGGATCAGGAGCAGCCAGTACAGGGGCATTGGTCAGAGCCGTCTTCAGCTGGTTGAATGCCTGTTCACACTCTGGGGCCCAGATGACCTGCCTGGGCAGGTTTTTCTTCGTCAAATCAGTCAGGGGTTTGGCCAGGGCACTGTAGTTGGGCACAAATTTTCTGTAATACCCTGCGGTACCTAGGAAAGCCAGGACTTGGGTTTTGGTCCTAGGGGTAGGCCACTGGGCTACAGCTTCAATCTTTGCAGGCTCAGGCTTCTGCTGCCCGCTACCAACCCGGTGTCCTAAGTACTGGACCTCTGCCATCCCTATGTGGCATTTGCTGGGTTTCAAGGTAAGCCCCGCCCCTATGTGTTGTAGGTGTTCCGACCAGGTCTGACTGTAGATGGCAATATCGTCCAGATATGCACATGCATAGTCCTGGAACCCGTCCAGTAGCCGATCCACCATCCGCTGGAATGTCGCGGGGGCGTTCTTCATCCCGAATGGCATGACTCGAAATTGGTACAAGCCAAACGGGGTGACAAACGCCGACTTAGGGATGGCGTCCTCGGCTAGTGGAATTTGCCAGTATCCCTTACACAAATCTATGGTAGTGAGATACTGACCCCGGGCCATCCTATCAAGCAGTTCGTCTATCCGAGGCATCGGGTAGGCGTCCGACACAGTTTTGTCGTTCAACCTCCGGTAGTCCACGCAGAACCGGGTGGTACCATCTTTCTTGGGAACCAGGACTACCGGCGATGCCCAGGGGCTATCTGAGTGCTCAATAACCCCCAACTGCAACATCTCTTCAATTTCTTTCCTCATATGTTCCCGCACGGATTCAGGAATCCGATAGGGAGTCTGTCGCATGGGAAGCTGTCCCGGGGTTTCTACTCGGTGGGTGGCTAGTGGAGTGTACCCAGGTAGGTTAGAAAAGGCGGCGCCCTTGGTTGCTATCAGTTCTTGTACCTGGATACGCTCTTGAGGACTTAGCCGCTCCCCCAGTTGAACCCCTTGGGAGGGTTCCTTCTGCTCCTCCTGCTCTAACAGATTGGGGGTGATGCAAGTATCTGGTCGTGTCTAGGGTGCAAAATAGTCTAGCACCAGCCCTGCCTCAGTGTGAGTGTCACCCACAGACCACATCACTGTTTTATTCAGGGGCACTTATGCCCCGAGTAAGGGACCTAGCAACTTGGTCTAAGCTTGCTCTCAAACTCTGTTAACAAATAAATCGTATAATTTTAACTCTATATTTATGAAAAATATCTCTTATTAAAAAAATAAATGTTTACTAATCTAATGTCCACTCATCATTGAGTGTTGTATCTCATGTATTTGTGTATATGTCTTTACCACCCACTTATCGTATGTGTGAGCGCCCATTCCTTGCGGACTGCCTGGGAGTGTGCGTTGCTACTCCCATCTGCAGGTCAATCCACTTTGTGCAAAGTGCATGTGCTCAATGTATCACCAAAACTGTCCAATAAAATTCTCTCAGGGGGACTCCGTATAGTCTACCTCCCTTGAGAAGCATAATAATCATCTTTTTTTTTTTAAGTAAGTATTTTAAAAATGAAATAAATGTTTTTTACTACTGCATGTTGGAACTTTGGGGGAGAGAGAGAGAATGATCACTTTATTTTAACATAATTAGTTAGATTTTCTGTAATATAAATATATATTTTTAATTTAACTTTTAATATTTATATCAGGCTTCGGCTACGGTTATCCGCGTGGATATGTTAGGGCAATCGCCTCGGGGTACCGGGTGGCGTAATCCACCACGGTCAGGATATACCGTTTCTTTTAATAAAAGGGGCTTTTTGGTAGTGGCCCTACTATATCTAACTACCCGGCTGAACGGTTCCTCAATTATGGGTAGGGGACATAGTTTTGCCTTATGGCGATCCCCCCTTTTGCCTACCCTCTGGCACACATCACAGGAGGTACAATATTGCCTCACGTCTTTAGAAATCCCGGGCCAAAAGAAAGCGTGCGTTAAGCGATACCGGGTCCTGGTCATCCCTAAATGGCCGGACAGAGGAATATCATGAGCTATTCTCAGTAACTCCTGCCTATACTTCTGGGGCACTACTAGCTGCTTGGTTTGGAGCGTTACAGAGTTGCCTATTGCCCTTTCCGCCACCCGGTACAGTAACCTCTTTTCCCATACGTACCGTTCTCCCTCCCGCCCCACCTGGTCTGTGTCTACCCTATCTCGGTACACCTGCAGTGTGGGGTCTGTCTGAACTTCAGCTTCAAACGTGGTCGGGGTGTCCCAAGTCATGTCGGTCAAGGGGGGGTCATGGTTTCTTACCTGAGCCTCAGAGTGTGCGGGGAATGCCGTGGTGCGAGCCTGTTGCCGGGTGGTTACCGGATGCACCTCTTGTGAAGGAGCCTGGGGAAGAAAAGCAGAAGTCATCTGGCCCAAGTCATTCCCCAAAACAACATCGGCTGGTAGTTTCTTCATTATGGCCACTTCCACAACCCCCTCCCCAGCACCCCAGTTCAAATGCACTTTGGCCGTGGGTAACCGGTACATGGCTCCCCCGGCTACCCGGACTGCCACTGATCCGCCAGTGTGGGCCGTATCTGGAATTAAATGGGGGGCCACTAAGGTCAAGGTGGCTCCCGAGTCCCGCAGCCCCTGCACTTCTTTCCCTCCCACAAATACAACTTGGCGGTGATGCTGCCGGTTGTCCGTGGCTTGCACAGACATCACCTCGTACAGAACCCCCAATGGTTCCTCGGTTGGTAGACTTGCCAGCTCCGAGTGGTCAGGTTCTGTGTGGTAGAAATGGGCCGCTGCCCTTGGAGCGGAGTTTTGCCGTACCTGGTTCCACGCCTGCCTGCTCCGATTCTGGGTGCACTCCCGGGACATATGCCCCCACTGCCGGCAGGTATGGCATTGTATGTTGGCCCTGTATGTTGGCCATTGTATGTTGGTTAGCGTGATGGCGGTGGGGGGTTTCCTGGTGGTGGCCGGAATGGAGTAGCGTTGGCGGGTGTGGAGATGGCTGGGTGGTGTGGTACAGCTGGTCTCACGGGAGCCCTGTTGAGAAGCCCATGATGCCTTCTGGCGTCAAAATGCTGATCCGCCAACCGGGCGGCTTCGGTTAGGGTGAGGGGTTTCCTGTCCCTTACCCATTCTTGTGCCTCGGGTGACAGTCCGTTAAAAAATTGCTCCAGCAGGATGAGTTGGCGCAGTTCCTCCATTGTGGTAGCTTGGCTCGCCTGAATCCATCCTTGCGACGCTTGGTCGAGCTTATGTGCCCACTCAGCGTGGGAATCTTTCTCGGGCTTCCTCAATCCTCGAAATTTACGCCGGTATACCTCCGGGGTTATGGCATACCTCTCCAGAATTGCCCTCTTAACTTTAAAATAGTCCTTGCTATCTTCTCTGGGCACAGCGCGATACGCCTCGGCTGCTCGTCCTGCCAACTTGCCTGCCAGTAGGGGTACCCACATAGCCTGTTCTAGATCGTGTAGGTCGCACAACCGCTCAAAATCCTGCAGGTATCCGTCAATCTCATCTTTCTCCTCGCAGAATGCTTTAAATGCCTGGTAAGGTATTTTCTGCTTCACTGGAGCGCAGAATGAATTGGCGATGGATTCTGCCCTGGATGGTGACCTCTGGTGTTGCTGTGCCATAATATAATCCTGGACGTCCGCCATCAGTACGGTTAAGATGTCCAGGGTTACTGGCTGTGGTACAAATTCCAGCCGGGTTCTCAGTTCCCTCTGGTATGGTGTTTCCTCTCTGGCAGGTGGGGGTGGACTGCTGTGCGCTTGGTCGCCCTCCATTAGCTCTGCAATCAGTACTGCTTTCGATTTATTGCTAGCGCTTTTCCCTCTAGCCTCCAGCAGCTCCTTTAGCGTCTGTCTCTTTAACGCCGTGTAATCAGTCCCCATTCACTGATCGCTTTCGTCTGCTTGTTTCATACGAATTGCCTTTCCGTTCGGTTGTTCCTTTCATTCGAATGCGCTGTATTCGGCTGTAGAGTTGGATCCCGTCGCTTGCCACCAATTGTAGCGGAACGCCAATAATAAATCCACGAATTCCGCTGGTCCAGAAACGAATCCACAGTCAAGCGCTGAAAACAACAAGGCAATATCCCCAAACTCCCAATAACCGGACGAGACACAGTTTTGGGAGTCAACTTACAACCTTTTAATCAGCAGGACAATTTATACAAGTCCCCATGCAAGGGGTTTCCTGAGTCCCTCCCCAGGGGCACTCCCAGAGGGGACTACATGGGGGACTTACAGTACAGCATATTTCTCCCATCAGGCACTGCTGCACGAGAGGGATCATCTTCCCAGAATGCACCGTTAAGGGGATTATCCCCTCTTGCAGCAGAACCGACAATTCATATAAAAATCCATAACTTGATGAATATACAGTGGATTTACACGAATGGACGTTCGGTAGATAGCTGGGGTCTGAGGGTATCATTCGTGAGATTACCGCTCAGATCCCAGCTAAAATAACCGAACGCCGCACGAACAACACAATTCGTATAAAATATATAAAAAGAACCGATTGCTTTTAGGGAACAAAATACCGAATGTCCCGAAACTCCCGAACGCCCTGGAGGTTCAGCGGGGCTCATGCCGTCGAGTAGCCGTTTTTAGTACCAGGCGCTCGACGACATAACCCCGCTGAGGAACAAAGGATCCAAGATGGCCGACCGCCGCATGGTCGGTAGTCGAACGACGGCCACCCAGGAGAGCCTCTAATTACCGATTGCAACAATGTTGCAATTGGTTAACTAGCGCCACACGCCTCTAAGTGTGTGGGCTATTAGGGGGTATCGCGTTCGTTTCACGAACGGCCCTCCAAAGTGCCGTTCGTGAAACGAACGGTAATCCCCATACAAACCGCCATTGGCATTCGGCTAAACCGGTAATTACAGTCTCTGCAGAAAATACATCAAGCACATACATAAGAATAAAGCGCATATCTCCCCAGACCTGTAGGCAACCCTTAAAGGCACAGTCTCTAGTTATAGTTCAAGTGGCTAGGTTTGCCACAGGAGATATTGCCATTTTCTGCAACAACTGGGAGTTTCTGCAGCTCAGATGAAGATTGATTGTGAGTAAATAGTTAGAAAGACCACACAGGTGTAAAGTTAAAGGGCAATGTGTCAGGATTTTTATAGGTGGTGCTGAACGAAATGGCGCCCAATAGTGGCACAATCTTAATGTGCTCTAATTTCCAACATGAAGTCGTGACAAAAGTAGGGAGTTTACGCTACTTGTGCTGTTTCTGAACTTCCACGTTGCTCTGGTGCTATTTGCCGAAAATTCCTCTAATAATCTCCACCAAACTGTGCGTGGCAGAGTCTCAATTTCAGAAGCCAAATGTGCTGTGTGAAGTATAAAACCAGTGCAAAGGATTTTATAAATATAACAGCCAATGCACCTCTTCTCACTTTCCTGACACTTGCGGCTGCCGCTCCCTGGACAAAATCACCCTCTATGAGTCCACGACAAATGAAAAAATGTTGGAGTCAGAAACGAACCAGACCAGTACCCATAAACTAAACATTAAATATAGGTATATAATGACACTGCGGAAGTCAACAGAAGAAAAGAAAATCTCAGCATTAACAGTTCAGTGTGTTTATGTGAATTTTATTTCAAACAATGACATGAATATAGGTGTTGTATCAAATCACAGTGCCATATATCCTCCGTCACCTTACGTGGGTCTATATACCGCCCACTCCAATTTCTCCATTGCCAGCAATTGCATCCCTTTACTTTCAAATTGACCTGCACCCACATACGCACTTTTCCCCACCTTCCACACTGCTACAGCTTTACGAAGTTGCGACCAACTCAGTGTCCCTACCGGCCCGCAGCTTCCAGTCATCATGAGCCGCAAGGGCTGTAGCAGGTCTTTGCGTGTAACAAACTCAGATCTCAGTACGTGCTGTCTTGTGCTCCACATAAGTTAAAATCATTCCCTCTAGTTGAGAAGTTTGCAATCAATAAATGTTCATTAGCAGTATAAAAACTAGGAATTCTTATCCTTGTAAAGGATCACTATTAGCTTAAGGTTTACAGTCCCTTAGCAGTATAAAAGGATCTTTGTGAGCTGGAGCTATAAAGGTCCTTTTGCCGGATAGGAACTAGATTTCTCACTGTGAACCGTCTAGTTCCTATCCCTGTAAGGGACCTGTGTTAGCTGGAGCTATAAAGGTCCTTTAACAGGATAGGAACTAGATTTCTTACAGTGAACCGTCTAGTTCCTATCCCTGTAAGGGACCTGTGTGAGCTGGAGCTATAAAGGTCCTTTAACAGGATAGGAACTAGATTTCTCACTGTGAGCCGTCTAGTTCCTATCCCTGTAAGGGACCTGTGTGAATTGGAGCTATAAAGGTCCTTTAACAGGATAGGAACTAGATTTCTTACTGTGAACCATCTAGTTCCTATCCCTGTAAGGGACCTGTGTGAGCTGGAGCTATAAAGGTCCTTTAACAGGATAGGAACTAGATTTCTCACAGTGAGCCTTCTAGTTCCTATCCCTGTAAGGGACCTGTGTGAGTTGGAGCTATAAAGGTCCTTCTGCTGGATAGGAACTAGATTTCTCACTGTGAGCCGTCTAGTTCCAATACATGTAAGGGACCTGTGTGAGCTGGAGCTATAAAGGTCCTTCTGCTGGATAGGAACTAGATTTCTCACTGTGAACCATCTAGTTCCTATCCCTGTAAGGGACCTGTGTGAGCTGGAGCTATAAAGTTCCTTCTGCTGGATAGGAATAGATTTCTCACTGTGAGCCGTCTAGTTCCTATCCCTGTAAGGGACTTGTGTGTGCTGGAGCTATAAAGGTCCTTTAACAGGATAGGAACTAGATTTCTCACAGTGAGCCGTCTAGTTCCTATCCCTGTAAGGGACCTGTGTGAGTTGGAGCTATAAAGGTCCTTCTGCTGGATAGGAACTAGATTTCTCACTGTGAGCCGTCTAGTTCCAATACATGTAAGGGACCTGTGGGAGCTGGAGCTATAAAGGTCCTTCTGCTGGATAGGAACTAGATTTCTTACTGTGAACCGTCTAGTTCCTATCCCTGTAAGGGACCTGTGTGAGTTGGAGCTATAAAGGTCCTTCTGCTGGATAGGAACTAGATTTCTCACTGTGAGCTGTCTAGTTCCTATCCCTGTAAGGGACCTGTGTGTGCTGGAGCTATAAAGGTCCTTTAACAGGATAGGAACTAGATTTCTCACTGTGAGCTGTCTAGTTCCTATCCCAGTAAGGGGCCATTGTTAGCTGAAGGTATAGAGGTCCCTTAGCAGTATAGGAACTAGGTATTACTATCCCAGTAAGGGACCTGTGTGAGTTGGAGCTATAAAGGTCCTTCTGCTGGATAGGAACTAGATTTATCACTGTGAGCCGTCTAGTTCCTATCCCTGTAAGGGACCTGTGTGTGTGCTGGAGCTATAAAGGTCCTTCTGCTGGATAGGAATAGATTTCTCACTTTAAGCCGTCTAGTTCCTATCCCTGTAAGGGACCTGTGTGAGCTGGAGCTATAAAGGTCCTTCTGCTGGATAGGAACTAGCTTACTCACACTGAGCTGTCTAGTTCCTATCCCTATACAGGACCTGACCAGTAGGAGGCGAAAAGGTCCTTTAGCAGGATAGGAACTAGCTTACTCACACTGAACAAGCTATTTCCTATCCTCAGAAAGGACAGGGTCCTTCTACTGGATAGGAAGGGGGTGTATCCATCCCAGCATGCCTTGCACACTTCCTACAGGAGCTGGTTAGGGACAAATTGTGCATTGTGCAAAGCTCCCCTAGAGGGAACTGCTGGTATACACCACAGTATCCACGTAATAATGTAGTCACTAGTCTGTATAATAATACTGAGTATCTATACGCTGATAATAAACATGTCGCTCTGTATAATAATACTGAGTATCTATACATTGATAATAAACATGTCGCTCTGTATAATAATACTGAGTATCTATACGCTGATAATAAACATGTCGCTCTGTATAATAATACTGAGTATCTATACGCTGATAATAAACATGTCGCTCTGTATAATAATACTGAGTATCTATACACTGATAATAAACATGTCGCTCTGTATAATAATACTGAGTATCTATACACTGATAATAAACATGTCGCTCTGTATAATAATAGCGAGTATCTATACGCTGATAATAAACATGTCGCTCTGTATAATGATACTGAGTATCTATACACTGATAATAAACATGTCGCTCTGTAGAATAATACTGAGTATCTATACACTGATAATAAACATGTCACTCTGTATAATAATACTGTTTATCTATACACTGATATTAAACATGTCACACTGTATAATAATACTGAGTATCTATACACTGATAATAAACATGTCGCTCTGTATAATAATACTGAGTATCTATACGCTGATAATAAACATGTCGCTCTGTATAGTAATACGGAGTATCTATACACTGATAATAAACATGTCGCTCTGTATAATAATACTGAGTATCTATGCACTGATAATAAAATGTCGCTTAATTCCACATTAATTCTACAATGTTATATGGAATAGTAATGTCTTCCCCCTCTATTTCAAACCAATTCTGTGGAATTTTATCCTGTTTGATTAGGGGGAGAGTGTGCATTAATTGAGCTGCTTGATGATATAAGAAAATGTTTTGAAAACCAATACCTCCATGCTTATATTTCATATACAGAAGATCCTGGCCTAATCTGGGTTTTTTCTGAAGCCATACATAATCTCTAAAAATCTTATTTATAAGTTTAAGTTGTTGGGGCTGCATCTGTATTGGAATCATCCTCAATAGATATATAAACCTAGGGAAAATATATGCCTTAATGAAATTAACCCTACCCCACCAGGATAACTGCATGGAGTTCCACTGTTTTAACGAATGAATACATTCTCTAATCAAGGGGATTACATTGGCCATCATTATATTACCAGGATTTTTCACTATATTAATCCCAAGACAAACAAATCCCTTTTTTTCCCATCTAAAGTCAAAAAATTTAGTTAAATATTGATAATCTTCCTCTTGCATATAGAAGGGTAATACAGTCGTTTTTTGAACATTAAGTTTATAATTTGACAGTCGGCTATAACTTTCAATTACCTGCATAGCTGCTACTACTGACTTAATTGGATTAGTTAGGGTTAGCAGAGTGTCATCCGCATATTGGCATATCTTGAAATGTTTATCTCTCTTTTTAAACCCAGATATTTCGGCATTATTTCGTATTTCATATGCCAGAGGTTCAGCTGTTAAAATATAAAGCAGCGGGGATAAAGGACAACCTTGTCGGGTACCATTCGATACCATAAACCAATCAGACTTAATCCCACCCCCGACAATCCTGCTGGATGGAAAAGAATAGCAGGCCAAAATTGCCGACATAATCTGCCCTGCAAACCAAAAAGCTTTAAGAGTTGCTTTCATGAAATTCCAGCCGACCCTATCGAAAGCCTTTTCTCCGTCTAAGGCCATCGTTAAAAAAGGAATTTTGTTCATATGAATCTTAGAAAATATATTTAATATCTTCCTAATATGGTTAGAAGACGTCCTGCCTGGTATAAACCCTACCTGATCTTTTGAGATCAGGGAGGAGATTATATTCTTAATTCTTTTAGCAATGATAGAAGCGTAGATTTTATAATCTTTATTTAATAAAGCTATTGGGTGATAGTAATTTCTTCTGGATTTTAATTGTTTTTTAAAATAGGTAAGATATTTGCAGCCAACATTTCTATAGGTAAATTACCTGTAATCATCGCCAAGTTATAACAATCTACCATTCTCTGAATCAACCTGTCCTTATATGTTTTAAAAAAGCAATCTGTAAATCCGTCTGGACCTGGTGCTTTATTTTTTTTCATATCATCAATAGCGTCACAAACTTCTTGAAAAGAAATCTCTGTATTCAATTGTTCTAATTGATAATCATCCAGTTTGGGCAGGTGACTGTTCAAAAAATACCTATCCATCTCCTCTTGGGAAGATATAGCTGGTAGATTATACAGTTTATAATAATAATTTCTAAATGCTTCTCCAATTTTTTTAGGGTCTAATATTATTTCATTTCCCTGTTTTATTTTTGTAATTAGTTTATTTTTTTGTAGATTTTTAACTTTATTGGTAAGTAATTTATCGGCCTTATTTCCCCTATAGTAGTAATTTATTTTCATATATTGGAGGTTTCTATTTATTTTAAAAATCATAATTTCATTTATTTTATTTTCTATTATCCTAATTTGATTTGAGATAATTCTTGTAGGTGTCATAATATTTTTTTTATAGCATTCACTTAGTTCAATATATAAACTTGAAAGGGATTCCTGTCGCTTTTTCTTGGTCTCAACTTCTAAACTAATAAGGTGACCCCTTATGACGCTTTTAAATGCACACCACTTTGTAACTGAGGACACTTCGTTATTATCGTTATCCTGCCAGTACAGGTCTATCGCCTTTGCGATCTGTTCCCTATTGATTTTAGGTATTAATGGCTTGTCATTTAATTTCCAATCTGACCTATGCTTTAAAAAATTGTTCTTTAGTTGTATTTTCACCATATTATGATCGGACCATGTTACCTTGATTATATTAGAAGATTTCACATTTTCTATCAGATTTCGATCTCCGAATATAAAATCAATTCTTGAATAAGAACAATGGGTCTTACTAAAGCATGTGAAATCTTTCTCTGTAGGGTGAAAAGTCCTCCAGCAATTAAGAAGGGCTTCACTTTGTATTATATTCCTAAATTTTTTTGCCTGATTTAGAGCATTCCTTGAGGGGATTTTAGACTTTTCAGACTGTCTGTCTATATTAGGATCAGTTACCAAATTAAAATCGCCCATAACTAAAGTATGGCCTTGTTTGATTTTATTTAATTGCGCAAAAAATTTATATAAAAACTGTATCTGAGAGGTATTCGGGGCGTAGATATTAGCAAATGTATAAAGTTTATCTTCTATTGTACATACTAGAATAATCCATCTTCCCATCGGATCAGTTTTAGAGTAGGTAATCGAAACATTTAATGTCGAAGAAAAGAAAATAGCTACTCCCCTCTTTTTTTTATCTTTACAGGAAGAACATACTGAACTAGGGAAATCTTTAAATCTAAATTTCCCCTCTTCTGCTCTACGCCAATGAGTCTCTTGAGTACCTACAACTTGCGCCTTTTCTCTTCTAATATGGTCATCTAGGAGTCTCCTTTTCTGTGGAGAGTTCAGGCCTTGTGCATTAATAGAGACTACATTAAACATAAAGATTTTATCTTATCTTTTTCTCTTTTTTTTTCTTTCCTTTCTCCCTTCCTCTCTTCTCTCCCTTTCCTCTCTCTTTACTTTAACCATTCTCTTTCTCCTTTCCTCCCCATCTTTTTTTCTCAAAATCGCATCCCCCTCAGGATAGGTATCTTTTTTTGCTAATTCATATATTTGAATCATCGTCAACTTATAACAATCAGAGAAACACAAAACATTTACATTCACAAACACATTTACAATAGACATCCCTTAAAGGAAGTATAGATGGACCTGTGATGTTTCCTCTTTCACAGAACCTCCAAATAGATCCTATATAGGATCATTATTATGATACTGAACTGCCCCTTTTGGAGAGCATTTGAGCCAGATATTAAATTTAGACCCCCGATTGATACTCTACATAGTTAACAATAGGTATAAAAAAAAACAAGAAAAAAAAAGAAAAAAAAAAAAACTGTCTTATCAATCTCTACCTTAACCTTCTCCCTCCCCTCACCCACTCCTCTCCCAGAGGCTCTCAATCTTCGTGCCTAACCTAGTATATCCTTTTATTTCTATTAAACATAGATTATCATATAATCCAAAATAAACCTAAGTGATTAAACAGCCCCTTTCCAAAATTACCTTATCATATCAACCTTTGTCTTTCTATCCTTCAATATCTCTATTTAATTCAGTATTCTATATATCTTTTATATTCTTAAATTCTCCTAACAGTAGCTTATCAATTTACACCCATTATGTGGATTCCAGCTTAAAATTGTCGAGCTGTATTTAAAATAATAAAACTGTATTATTTAAATTCTCCTCTAAAAGTCAGTGCTTATTTGTGAACTAACGAATTAAGGGAAGTTTAACCCTCAGATCTTCCTCTCAAACTCTTCCTAAGGCAAATTCAATAACACTCCTCTTCTATTCTAGTGATTATGTGTTCCCAATTCCTTCTTCAATAAAATTTCTTCATATTTAACATCTATTATACATCATTTTCTTACAACCTATTATTGCTGTGCATACAGAGGACAACAAACACCTCTTTAATTAACAATAATATCTGTGTGAACCAATTATGTGAACATCTAGTATCTTACAGTGACTAATAAAAACTTTTCCGTCAAGTTTTAATTAAATGTATAAAGTTAATTTGCTGATATCTATAGTATATTCGCTCCCTCCAAAAACATTATTTCTGTTTCCCAATGTCGAATTACACTCTTAATGACTGAGATTAAAGGAATCCCTGCGTGTACAATCATTCCCAAAAACCCTCCTAATACATAATAGATATGATACTTTGTCGTGGATAAAGTCTCTCTTCGTCTTCTTTATCCTCCCCTTGGATCGGGTATAGGTGATAAAGCAGAAAGAAAAAAAAAAAAAAAAAGAAAACCTTTATTTTTCAGTTATACAGCTTCTCTCCTACGTCCTTTATCCTCATCTCCTTGATTATCCAATTCAAAATTCTGCTCTCTAAACCATTTTGAAATTGCTGTAACGTCTGAAAAGGAATATGACCTTGCTTCGTACGAAACAATAATTTTACAGGGATATCGCCATGCATATCTGATGTTCTTCTGATGCAGGATCTTTGTGTAATTTGCAAACGATTTTCTTTTAATCCTAGTGTGGTAGGAGATATCCGGAAAAATCATAATGTCACTATGTGGATCCTTCATCTTAATAAGTCTTGATGCTTTTAAAACTTGTTCTTTCATTTTATAAGACGAGCAGCAGATCATCACATCTCTCGGTTTGCTTTGATCCACATATTCTGGTTTCATAACTCTGTGACTTCTTTCCAGAAAATTTAATGAGTTTGTCATTTGTATGCCCAATTGTACAAAAATCTCCATTATATGATCTTGCAGTTTATCGCTATTGATAGATTCTATAGCCTGCCTAAGCCCTACAGTAAAGGAAAAGATTGTACAGCAAATGCTGATGCCAATCATTGATTATGGGGATGTAGTATATGCGTCTGCATCGCAATCCCACATTAATAAACTCAACACATTGTATAACTCGTTCTGCAGATTTGTGCTACAATGTAATTACAGGACCCATCATTGTGACATGCTAAAGGAACTAAACTGGCTGTCGCTGGAATCCAGACGCACCCTTCATCTTTCCAGCCTTGTTTTTAAGAGCTTTTCTGGTAAACTCACACCCTACCTGAACAAAATGCTTTCCCCAGCTGTTCCCACTTTCTATAACCTCCGATCCAGTACAAGCACTTTACTTAGTCTACCTCAATACAAAAAGAAAGCGGCCCGATCCTCCTTCTCCTACAGAGCACCGCAATTGTGGAACGACCTCCCGCACAATTTAAAATCTTCCCTAAGCCTAAAGTCTTTTAAGAGATCCCTCTCTACATACCTCAAAACAGAATGCACATGTCATGGTTGATTATATATTTCCTGCCTGTTCTATGTTAAATTTTGTATATATTGTGTATTAATATTGTTTTTGTATTTTGTTGTACCTAATGTAACAATGCAATGATTTGTGGACCCAGGACATACTTGAAAACAAGAGAAATCTCAATGTATCTTTCCTGGTAAAATATTTTATAAATAAATAAAAATAAATTCTGGGATTCCCCTGATTCTTAGATTATTACGTCGGGAGCGATCTTCCAGATCTGCAATTTTAAGTTCCATATCCTCTATCTTTTTGTTTGTCTTCCTCATAGAATCTTCTGTTGTCGCTTGCTGAAATTCCATTGAATCTAGTTTTTCTTCATACTGCTTGAGTTTTTTTCCCATCTGTAATAGCTCCATTTTGAATTCCAACAGACCTTCATGTATCTCCTTTTTAATTTTCTCAAGTTGCCGTTCAAAACCGGACTCAAGATACATATGTAATTCATCCGAGCTATGTTCTTTTGGACTTAAATTTGAGGATATGCACTTTGGAGATAGATGTTCTGCTTCTTTAAATGATTGAGAGGAGGAATCTGATATATTTTGTTGATCTGATTCCAATTTCTGTGTTTGCACCGGAACTAAGGAGGAGAGCCTTCTATTTGGCTTACTTTCTAACTTTCTTTCTCTTTTCATAAGCTGTTTGTTGTCTTGCCCTTTCCTAGTAGTCATCTTGAAAAGAGAAAAAAAAAAAAAAAGGATTCTCCTTTAATCCAGATTCAGAAAGACCTTTGTAATGTTGACACTTGTTCCACGCCCTTAGTGCGTTTGATTTTCTACATCTCACACCATTAATTATATCTTTCCGTGTTGCAAGCTTATTTCTACTAAAGCCATTTCCGTGTATAACATGCTTATTGTACTTTAAGGGGCAGATGGAAAGGGAAAAAAAAAAGAAAGAAATTTGTATTTTTCAGATGTCCTTCTTTTTTTTTTTTAAATCTATAGTAATTTCCCTTCTTTTCTTCACTTTATTTTTCACTTCACTTTGCCCCTTTATCTTCTTCCAATTTGTCTCCTCATATATAAAATGTTGGCATCTGCTTAAACTACCATATTTAATTGTAACAGATTGGCAGTTTTAAACACTTATACTTGTTTCACTTTTTCCTATTTGCTTTTATAATCTTAGTTGTTGCCTCTTTAATTTATCAATATATCCTTCAGAAGTCTTACGGAATACTGTCTTGCTGATATTTATATTTAGCTTTTATGATAGTCAGCTTAGTCAGATATCTTTGTATTGATACTTGAAGCACCAGACCCTATCAGGGTGCGAGAAAACAATTAAACACGTTCCACTTTGCAGAGGTGAACACGGAGAATGAATATATATAAAAAAAATTTTTTTAGATGTCTTGAAATATTAAGTGTTGACAGCAATTCTCGATTATGTTCACTCCCCTATGTTCACTTAGCGGAGCTATTTCCAAAAAACTCCTGCGCCCTCTAAGCCTTTCCCCACCAAACAGCTTTTTCAGGGTATATCAGTGAAGCTCTGCTGAAAATCGCTCCACTTACCCTCACAGTGTCTGTTGGTGCGTCGCTTGCTTCAGGCTGGGCACTTCCGACACTCATCCTCCACCTTACAATGTATCTAACTGATGGTCACTTGCTGGGGGCCCTTCAGTTTTCCCCGGTTCTCCCCCTCGGTTTTCCGACTTCTGATTTCGCGGAATCAGCTTCAGACAGCTTCAGGCAGCTTCATGCAGGTCTCGTCCGATCGGGCGTCCTGAGGCTCAGCTCCCTAGGGCGCCAGCATCTCCGCGTGCAAGGACGTACGCTCCCACGCGTTCACGTCCTACGTGGTAAATTTACTGTTAATATATTATCTTTATTCCACCTGCAGGAATGGAATTTTATAACCATATATTTTTGTAGTTAACTAAGTTTTCTAATGATTGTAATCTGACTGAGATTTATCCAAGCATATATTCCTGCTATGAGTAAAATTTTAATTAATTTCATTTAATTAAATTTAAAAAACCAACATAATTACCAGTTAGGTTGTACATTTTCTTATCAGATGAATTCAAAGATCTGTCCCAGGAATTGTATGCAAGTAGGATTGATGTATGCAGTAGAAAAAGTTTTCAGAGTTCTGGATTAGGTGTCCAGGAAAGTGTTTCTTGAGTTGTGTCAAAGAGAGTTTGTCTGAGTCTGTGAGTGTCAGATGTTGAATCTTGAATGTCCAATGTTGAATGTCTGAATGTTGAATCCCTCTCTTCCCTTTGTCCTTACTTTTTAAAGGGCCAAACTCTATGCACATCACTAGTTGACAGGACCAATAGGGAACTGTAGGTGTGTCAGACCATAATCTAGGTTTTTTTTGGTCAGTAGATAGCGCAATTACATCACCAAAATGTCTTGTCATGGGGTCCATTTGCCTTTATGCCTGATGGGTTAACTGAATTTTATGATGATTTTGAAGTCATTTACTTATCCATTTTATGTCCATTTAACTCAAATTTGCTGCCAATTTCAAAGGCTTATCCCAGACAGAGCGTCGGCAATTCCAATCGTAATTTAGAATTGACACCTCCTAACCTTAATTTCATCCTTTTACTTACAATGGGACTTTGTAGGAGTTAGAAAGTAAAATTAATTACTAAGTGTTATCTGTTACTAGTGTCTGGTTCTTTTGTGAAGCTGTGTGTAAGATTATTTTTCTATCCCACTAACATTTATTAAATAATATATTTTTCATTGATATTTAACAATGAATAGTCAATATTATTAACAAATACTGATTATATTTAATTATTAATAGCCGCAAATATAAGTGGATAGTGTGTATATGTTTATATAATTATGTATACATTTGTCTCTCTGGGTTAGTATTCCATTCCCCATCCTTGTGAGACATCATTGCCTTATCATCAGTCTTAGGAGATAACATTATTTAAAAATAGATAAGCAGAGATAAGAAAATACAATTTCCAAATTAAGACCCCCCAAACATCCATCTCGACTCAGTATTAACAGTTTGGTCTAAGTAAAGGACCAATAGTGCTGGGCTATTACGTTAAGAAATATGTGTCTGTCTCGTTTATGATGTTGGCTAGTGCTAGTTGCACTGTTCCCCATGTGTTTCATCTGTTGGTTCAGCTGGATAGACTACCAGACAAACTGTGGAGTTACTGGGTGGCCACCATTTCATGTATCAGAGGCACATGGTGAGAACAATGGATGGCGGCCATTTTAACTCACAGACACTGTTTTGACTTTTCTACACAGTGCCATCTCACCGGTATTTGGTGCAAAAAAACATAGTTCAGTAGTTTTAAACTACAGAACAGGGGACACATTTAACAGTAATTATTTTTCATATAGCCTGTATATGTTCTGCCGAATCTGCATTAAACCGTATCTTCCAAACTACTGAATGGATCTGGGTGAATTTTGTATATGTGGTTCACCCAGATCCCCCGGTTCCGAGGATATATTTTTTATGGGGTTATTGCGTGTTTTGGGGTTCCTGTGGTATGTTTTATAATACTGTATTTTCCTGCCTGTGATAATTAAGTTAGTCTATTGTGTTGAGATAATTGTATCACAGGCAGAAGGGAGGATTTCTGATGTAATGAAGGGAGTGCTAGCTGTGTTGTAATGTGTTAGGTTGTATAGGTTGTTCTTCAAAACCCTGTGGGCAGTAGTATGTTTGTAGAATGTGAATAAAAGAGGCTGTATGTGCCAGTACAGTCAGTTCTTCTTGACCCTCAACACGTAGTCTTGTCTCATGATTGGAGGGGACAGCTATATTCACACGGGGATTGCTATGCTTTGCATACTCCCTTGAGCTTTAATCACTTGGCTCTTTTAAGAGCTTGTTCCTGATACGCTGTCCTGGAGGAAAGGTCTTCCCCACACGGTCCTGGAGGACAGAAGCTGATCCAGGGTGGACAGAAGGCATCGAGACTCCAGTTAAGCTACGGCGGTTGTGGAGTCTGCGGTGGTTGTGTTGTCCGGTGCGGTACTTGTGGTCCTCAGAGCAAGCTAGGAAGCATCCATTAACGGAAGGTTCTGTTACATCCGGTATTCCTCGGAGTCTTTTGTTTCTTCTGTGGTGCATGGCCTCCAAAGATGTGACCATTTTGGTGAGTCTCTGGATCTGCAGGGACATGGTAGTCATTTGGGTTTGGGTCTCTGCTAGTCGGACGTTCCATTCTCCCTCTCGGGATTCAACTTCCCCCAAGCGGTGAGTCAGGGTGCCGATCTCTGACTGTATCCCCGCAAGGTCCGCTTTCCACACTGCCCGCAGGTCCAGAAGCAGACGTTTAATGTCCCCTTTGGTGGATGGGGATGTGTCTGTGTCTGAATCCGCCTTCTGGTGCATACCGCTGTCTGTCTGCGAGGCCACCATGTCGTCCTCCCCCACGGAGTCATCCGAGGTGCTTGAGCCTCGTGGTCTGGCAGGGGCCATCTTGGTCTGGGCCTGGAGTCATAATTTTGACCGAACGTGCACATGGTCCTATGACAAAAACAGTTCCAGGGAATCAGGGCGAACGGTTGGTCTCTCTTTCTGGAGTACAAAAGTAAAAAAATTACATAAACTCAGCATTTTAAAGTGCATTGGGCAAGGTATATTGCAGGGCCCATAGTCCTGAGGGAGGATGCTGGCCAGCAGGCACCTCCAAGAACCTGTGACGAGGTTCAGTTTGTCAAGCTCAAGCACATATCCAAATCCTCCCCCGGTTTAGGAAGCAAAGAGATATTGGCTTCCAGGCTTGATCTGGGAATTTTTAGATTTGAGGAGATGGAGTTTATGGCTTCTAAAAGTTGTTTGCCTAATTATTTTTGGAAGGTTTTATAATGAGTGGCCGAGAAACCATCTGGGCCTGCTCTTTAATTAATATGGCTGACTGAGCTTTGAAGGCAGCCGGACACCTTTAGGAACATGGAGGCAGCCATCTGAGTTAGCATACAGCCGCCCACCCGCGGGAGTATATAGCCGGAGCATTGTGGGCAGCGTGCGATTGAGCAGTACTCTGCCTGTAGCTCCTCTCTGCTCCCTCGCGTTGTCTAATGATGCCGGGAGCCAGAATATGAAGTCACTCCGGCCCTGGCTCTCCTAGTCCAGAGAGCGCAGCAGGAACAGCTATTTTTAGAGCTGTTCCTGCTGCGCTCCCTGGACTAGGAGAGCTGGATCCTCGTCTTGGGTCCAGGGTGGGTGGAGGGTGGTGAGACCCTAACCAAGCTTCGGCGGTTCGTGGGGTCTATGGTGATTATGGTGTTCCAGTACAGTGTTTTATGTTACTCACAAGTACTAGGAAGCAGAGATTGACTGTGGTACCTGTTCGGGGGGCCATGCGTTCCGTCACATTGGTGGCAGCGGTGGGACGGCATCTTAGTGAGGAGGAGCATCCTGGAGACACTGGTATCGTATGGATTTATAATTGAGGGCAACGGTAGCAATCGGGCAGTGCGCCTGGTTGCAGTTGAACAAGCTAGCCCCCGGGCAGCATCCCCATACGAGGAGGAGTTTCAGTGGAGACTACAAGGCGCCCTGGCACAGGAGTATGGCCCTGTTTCAGCCGAGGATGAACTGATATGGAAAGATGTGGTACGACGAGAGCTCTGGCACGAGGCACTGGAGCAGTCTCAAGCTCAAGGGGCAGAGAGCCTTCCCAGCTCAGATATGCACAGACAGAGGCAAACAGTTGCCTTTACTGAAGTCTCTTCCACGTGAAGAGTGCATCATAGAATTCCAGCGGTTGATCAGGAAGGAACTGTGACTGGGTGAGGCATACCGGGCGCTACAATGGTACTCGGTGCAAAGGTGCCCCTGGATGAATAAGAGTGATTGTCCAGAGGGTTATGACTATGATGGCCCTGGTCTACTATGGGATGCTGTGGAGGAGAACAGTGACTTCGGCAGCCCGGAAGAGTCTAGATATTGGGGCATTCGGGAATACCTTATGGACGAGCTAGAGCTTCCCAGTACTGCAGACCTGGGATCAAATATCACCTGTCTGGTCGCTATAGAATGGGAACTGGAGCAGGAGTACCAGACAGAGTTACAATGTAAGACAATCCCTCCCATCTGCCTGGGAGATAATTGAGTCAATTGCTGTATCAACTCAATTATTTCCAGGCGAAAAAAGAACATAATTTACAGACATTTAGAAAATACCCCCAAACCACACATAAACCCCATAAAAAATATATCCCCTGATAACCCCGATCTGGGTGAGCAACATCTCCAAAACTCACCTATATCAGTTCAGGGGTTCGGGATTCGCATGGAGGTCTTATATCTGACGGATCACACTCGGGGCTCCTGCCCAGAATAGCTCTATAGAATCAGGCTATGTGGCCAATCTCTTCTGTTGGCTTAAAATATAACGAAATGTCTCCAATAACTGTTCGTGGGAAAGCTAGTCGTGTGCATCTTGTTTAGGAGTTGAGTTTCACCGAACGCGGATGATTTGGAACGAACCTAGGTGATCCTGGAAGTCTCAGTGGTGTTTGGGCCGTTGAGTGTCCGAAAATAGTTCCATACACTCGACGACCAAACACCGCTGGACCAGTTCAACAAAACAATATGGCCATCGTTCGTGCATTCGAATCAACGGCCATCCAGTGAACCACTTAGAACGTTCAGAGTTGCGGTTAGAGCAAGTGTCAGTAAGGTCAATTGGAGGCACATGACTGCTTTAGGTGGTCCAAGGGTTTGGTATATTATTCGGTATATGACCCAGCTGGGGCAAATCTGTTCGGTTGAGTTCGTATACCGATCCAGGCAAAAATAAAAGTAATATTCAGGAACAGGGCATCTGTTACTGTGGGTAAGTTATGCTTTATGGACTAAAAGTAATTTTGCAAGGCAAATAAAAAGTGTGTGACAGAACCATCTGTCCGTGGACTACTTCTATTCCCCCTTTAGTTTCGTCTGTTTGTTCGGTTACTTGCTTGTCCGTATGCCCCCGTTAGTTTATTTTCTTAACTCTCGAATAAACTGCCAAACAGCCGGCCACCCAGCAAGGAAGTGTGCTGCTGGTTAACCTCTTGGCCCCATTAGAACGTTGAGGTTAACCGCAGACACCTCTTAATTGTCAAAGGTAGCCTGGGTGGTCGTCATTCGTATGCCGACCACGAGGCGGCGGCCATCTTGGACGCACGAATGCCCAGCGGTGTTCGCCGACGATCCCCTGGAACTAAAAACTGATACTATTTCTACCGAACACAGCTGAAGCAGCCGACCTCCATTCTCTGTCATCCAGCATACGAACACTGGCCCGTTCGTTATTTTCTTCCACGAATGGACTTACCCCAGATAGCCATCCCATTTGTATACCGAAAGACCATGTGAAAGACTTTGGCTCAATGGCAATTGAACTGTATGTATGTGATCTGAGCGCCATTCGGTAATAATGTGCGCTCAGATCTAAGCTATCTGGGGATACGTCCTGGAGGAAAGGTCTTCCCCACATGGTCCTGGAGGACAGAAGCTGATCCAGGGTGGACAGAAGGCATCGAGACTCCAGTTAAGCTATGGCGGTTGTGGAGTCTGCGGTGGTTGTGGTGTCCGGTGCGGTACTTGTGGTCCTCGGAGCAAGCTAGGAAGCGTCCATTAACGGAAGGTTCTGTTACATCCGGTATTCCTCGGAGTCTTTTGTTTCTTCTGTGGTGCCTGGCCTCCAAAGATGTGACCATTTTGGTGAGTCTCTGGATCTGCAGGGAAACGGTAGTCATTTGAGTTTGGGTCTCTGCTAGTCGGCCGTTCCGTTCTCCCTCTCAGGATTCAACTTACCCCAAGCGGTGAGTCAGGGTGCCGATTTCTGACTGTATCCCCGCAAGGTCCGCTTTCCACACTGCCCGCAGGTCCAGAAGCAGACGTTTAATGTCCCCTTTGGTGGATGGGGATGTGTCTGTGTCTGAATCCGCCCTCTGGTGCATACTGCTGTCTGTCTGCGAGGCCACCATGTCGTCCTCCCCCACGGAGTCATCCAAGGTGCTTGAGCCTCGTGGTCTGCCGGGGGCCATCTTGGTCTGGGCCTGGAGTCATAATTTTGACCGACCGTGCACATGGTCCTATGACAAAAACAGTTCCAGGGAATCAGGGCGAACGGTTGGTCTCTCTTTCTGGAGTACAAAAGTTAAAAAAAATTACATAAACTCAGCATTTTAAAGTGCATTGGGCAAGGTATATTGCAGGGCCCATAGTCCTGAGGGAGGATGCTGGCCAGCAGGCACCTCCAAGAACCTGTGACGAGGTTCAGTTTGTCAGAGGGAGGTAGCTCAAGCACATATCCAAATCCACCCCCGGTTTAGGAAGCAAAGAGATATTGGCTTCCAGGCTTGATTTGGGAATTGTGCTGCTGGTTAACCTCTTGGCCCCATTAGAATGTTGAGGTTAACCGCAGACACCTCTTAATTGTCAAAGGTAGCCTGGGTGGTCGTCATTCGTATGCCGACCACGAGGCGGCGGCCATCTTGGACGCACGAATGCCCAGCGGTGTTCGTCGACGATCCCCTGGAACTAAAAACTGATACTATTTCTACCGAACACAGCTGAAGCAGCCGACCTCCATTCTCTGTCATCCAGCATACGAACACTGGCCCGTTCGATATTTTCTTCCACGAATGGACTTACCCCAGATAGCCATCCCATTTGTATACCGAAAGACCATGTGAAAGACTTTGGCTCAATGGCAATTGAACTGTATGTATGTGATCTGAGCGCCATTCGGTAATAATGTGCGCTCAGATCTAAGCTATCTGGGGATACGTTAATTGTACCTAATACATTAGGTATTTTTCCTGTTATACATTTTTGTGTATTTTTCACTGTCACATGTAAAATGTCGATTTGCCTCTATCCTCTGAGATAATTGGATTACTTCTTCAACTATCTCCAGGATCGAGAGGAGGGTCTTTTCGGCTAAAGGGGAGTGTTTATGCCTGAGCCACTGTGATTGGCTACTGCATCAGTCCCCTATGGGAGTGTCCACCTGGTGGAAAGCCTGCATAAATACCGGGCAGGTAGTCGACATTAAATCGGATATCTGCTTAACCTTCAATACGGAGCTTGGTCTCGTACTTGGGGGTTTTGGATTCGTATGGTTTACTCGTTTGGCTGTTTGATACGTGAAGGATTTCATATGGTTCCAGTTCGGCTGATTGGATCGTTCGTCTAGCCACTTCTCCCTTCGGAAGGTGAACCCCCTTAACGGTATTAACCCTTACTATACTTGGGTGTACCGTAACAAAGTGTATAAACAATTTTTATAATGCAGGGAATTAAAGTACTATATATATAATATATATAAAAATTAGGTTCTTGCTCAATCACCATGATGTTTCATAGTCAGATTTATTATCGTTCATAAAAATATTGTCAGTTTTTCTAAGTATGGTAAACAAAAAATAATTTAAACACAGATTTTATTTAACTCCCAGTACATTTCCACATTTCCACCAGTAGGTCAATTTCAATAGCACAACCTTCTAGTATAAGTGGTAGAGGCTAGGAGTGAAATAAAAAGAGTAGTAGATACTTGGCACAGCCTTCCAGTGACAGAGGTGGGGGGGGTGGGGGGAGAATAACCGTGAGATTATGTGCTTCATGTGTTTACAATATATGTGATATACACAGAATCTGTAATTTGTTCCTCTTTATGGACAAAATCTAATTTAGCAAAGAAAATTCAAGTAAAAAGGAGTATACACAATTTTGATAATAAAGGGGTTAATGCACCCAAAATACTTGATCTCTTCGCACTCACCATGACACCTGATGGTCGTATTTCTTATCTATTATGCAAATATTGTCTATTTTTTCTAAGTATAACAAACAATCATTTGTGACCGATTTCCTTTAACTCCCAGTATGTTTCTTTTAGGTGTATTTGTCAGGAGAGGTGACAAGAACAGAAATAGCAAAGCTATGAAGAAATCTTTTAATAACAGAAGCAAGGAGTCCAACTCTAATAAATCAAGCATTTTCTCAGATACCTATATGTTCTCAATGGATACAGTAAACATAAACCCCAAACCTTTCTCATGTTCAGAATGTGGAAACTGTTTTGTCACCAATGCAGAGCTTGTCAGTCATCAGAGCACTCACACAGGAGAGAAACCATTCTCATGTTCTGAATGTGGAAAATGCTTCTTCACCAAAGCAGAGATTGTCCGTCATGAAAGAACTCACACAGGAGAGAAACCATTCTCATGTTCTGAATGTGGAAAATGCTTCATCACCAAAGCAGAACTTCTCCGTCATCAGAGAACTCACACAGGAGCGAAGCCCTTCTCATGTTCTGAATGTGAAAAATGTTTTGTCACTAATGCAGATCTTGTCCGGCATCAGAGAACTCACACAGGAGAGAAACCGTACTCTTGTTCTGAATGTGGTAAATGTTTTGGGCGACATTCAAAACTTGTCAGTCATAAGAGAACTCACACAGGAGAGATACTGTTCTCTTGTTCTGAGTGTGGAAAATGTTTTGGGTACCATTCAGAGCTTGTCCGTCATCAGACAACTCACATAGGAGAGAAACCGTTCTCATGTTCTGTATGTGGAAAATGTTTTGGGCGACATTCGGAACTTGTCTGTCATCAGAGAACTCACACAGGAGAGAAACCATTCTCATGTTCTGTATGTGGAAATGGTTTTCGTCAATATGCAAATCTTGTTAGACATCAGAGAACTCACACAGGAGAAAAGCCTTTCTTATGTGGTAAATGTGGAAAATGTTTTGCCAGCAAAGGAGAGCTTGCTTGTCATCAGAGAACTCATACAGGAGAGAAGCCGTACTCGTGTTCTGAATGTGAAAAATGTTTTAGTCAACACGCAAAACTTGTTAGACATCAGAGAACTCACACAGGAGATAAACCATTCTCATGTTCTGAATGTGGAAAATGCTTCATCACCAAAGCAGAGATTGTCCGTCATGAAAGAACTCACACAGGAGAGAAACCATTCTCATGTTCTGAATGTGGAAAATGTTTTAGGCAACATTCAAAACTCATCAGTCATCACATAACTCACACAGGAGCGAAGCCCTTCTCATGTTCTGAATGTGAAAAATGTTTTGTCACAAATGCAGATCTTGTCCGGCATCAGAGAACTCACACAGGAGAGAAACCGTACTCTTGTTCTGAATGTGGTAAATGTTTTGGGCGACATTCAGAACTTGTCAGTCATAAGAGAACTCACACAGGAGAGATACTGTTCTCTTGTTCTGAGTGTGGAAAATGTTTTGGGCACCATTCAGAGCTTGTCCGTCATCAGAGATCTCACACAGGAGAGAAACCGTTCTCATGTTCTGAATGTGGAAAATGTTTTGGGCGACATTCGGAACTTGTCCGTCCTCAGAGAACTCACACAGGAGAGAAACCGTTCTTATGTTCTGAATGTGGAACATATTTTGTCACCAAAGCGCAACTTGTCCGTCATCATAGAACTCATACAGGAAAGAAACCGTTCTCATGTTCTGAATGTGGAAATTGTTTTGTCATCAAAGCGCAGCTTGTCCGCCATCATAGAACTCACACAGGAGAGAAACCATTCTCATGTTCTAAAAGTGGAACATGTTTTGTCACCAAAGCGCAGCTTGTCCGTCATCATAGAACTCATACAGGAGAGAAACCGTTCTCATGTTCTGAATGTGGAAACTGTTTTGGGCAACATTCAAGTCTTGTTAGACATCAGAGAAGTCACACAGGAGAGAAGCCTCTCTAATGTAGTAAATGTGGGGAATGTTTTGCCAGTAACTCAGAGCTTGTCACTCTTCAGAGAACTCACACAGGTGAAGTGATTTTATAATGCATCTATGGATTAACATAAGAATAAAATGTCTTGTATTCTAAAAAAATTTCTCACGCTCACACAATAAATAGTAACTTTGATAGTAGCAGTCAATGTACATATGATGCATTGGTATTATGGCACCCCCACGCTATCGTCCGTAGGTGCCTAACCTGCACCGCTAACTCTGCTCCACTTGGTTGCAGACTTACCAGCAAAACAGGATACATTGTGGTTGTATGTTCTGGCTGTTACAAAGTATACTAACTTGCCTGTTCCACTTCAATGAATATGGTTCCTTAGCATGACTTAAATTTGCATGATTCCAACCAAGACCTCGGCAAAGAGACAAGACACATGCTTCTTACTGGCAACTTGTAGGATCACCATTTCTGAGCTCCAGCTTTTATTAAAAAAACACAGCACACACATGAAATGTATTTACAAATTATTCATACCAATAAGTGTATGAACTGGGATAGAATGTAAATTAGGTTAAGCTAATTATCCCCAGGGTCCTTTATTCTTATCCCAAGACACAATAACCTTGGACATTCCAAGAGAAAGGCTAGTTTCCCCAACCCCCAGTTTTAGTGTATAAATCATTCCCCTGCAATTTCACTTCTCAATTCACTGTCATTTAGAAGTTAAATCACGTTGTTTCTGTTTATGCAGCCCTAGCCACACCTCTCCTGGCTATGATTGACAGAGCCTGCATTGAAAAAAAAACGGTTTCACTTTCAATCTCTAAATTTAAATTTAATCACATACAGGAGGCTCTTGCAGGGTCTAGCAAGCTATTAACATAGCAGGGGATAAGACAATCTTAATTAAACAGAACTTGCAATAAAGAAAGCCTAAATAGGGCTCTCTTTACAGGAAGTGTTTATGGAAGGCTGTGCAAGTCACATGCAGGGAGGTGTGACTAGGTTTCATAAACAAAGGGATTAAACTCCTAAATGGCAGAGGATTGAGCAGTGAGGCTGCAGGGGCATGTTCTATACGCCAAAACTGCTTCATTAAGCAAAAGTTGTTCAGGTGACTATAGTGTCCCTTTAACCCCTTAAGGACCAAACCTCTGGAATAAAGGGGAATCATGACATGTCACACATGCCATGTGTCCTTAAGGGGTTAATACAAACTTCAAGCAAAAGTTATATTTTCTTCTAATTTTCTAGTTTTTTTTTCTTCTTAGGGCATACAATGCAGCTGAGACTATAACTACTGAATATTCCAATTTTGTCAAATATTCCAATCAGCCACTCATAATTTGGAGTTAAATTTCAGCCTTCTGAAAAATATAATGAGCTTTAAAATCTCTGATGTGTTGTAGGATTTTATCCTTGTAATATGATTATTGTTGTTCTTGTATTAGTTGTGAATTTAATTTTAGACTTTCATACACAGGACCTGGGAGGCCCTACCTAGACCTAGACATCTAGTATTAATTATAGGACATATGTCCATTGTATATCAATGTTCAACATATATGGTCCTTGTTCAGATACATTGATGAAGGCCCGCTATCATAACCTTTGACCCAGAATTGCAAGCCAGACTCCCATATTTATTAAGAAGGGCCTCTTTCTGAATCTCTTCATTTAAACATGTATAAAATCATTTGTGTAAACTACATTTTACTCCCAAGTATTACCATATTTATAAATACACAAAAACATGTCTTGCGCTCAAACTCCCACTACTCTTGGGCATCAGCAACGACCATAGTACACATCAGCCTCAATAGATACAGGAAAAAACTAAGAAAAAAAGTGTACCATTTTTATAATGTATGGCTTTAATCATAGATCGGACAGAATGGTTATTAACCCACAAACCTTTTTACAAATCTTAAAGAATTAAATAACCTTATCTGTATGTGTATGCCTCCTAATTAACTGCATACTTAGACATATAAAAGTTTTTTGCAGATAGATATTCACCACCAATACTAAACGTCAAAAATGGATATTAATTTGAAGTGCATACATGTTGCTGTATTGGTCTAGATGTGTGTAAAAGCTTTGTTATATTTGGATGTTATGTATGTTTGAATAAATATATATTTTAAGGCTGCAAGACAATCTGATTTGATTATTGGAACTCTGATGTGACAAACAAACATCTCAGGATCTGCTAATTTCCTGCATGTAATGGTCTAGAATATGACGTCACTCTGGCATCACTAAGAGGTGCATGAGGTTGCTGAGCAGGGAGAGCAGAGCTCCCTCGCCGCCCACCTCCACTGCTCACTTGTCTGCCAGACCTCCTGACCGCCCGCCAAGATGCAGCCAGCGCCACTGCACCACGGGGACTTCATGCCAGCAGCCCCACTGGACCCAACGGACTCCATGCCAGCACTCCTAAAGGTAGGGGTGTTGGGTGGAATAAAATTTAAAAAATAAATTGTGTGTGTGTCTGTTAGTGAGTTTGTATGTGTTTGTCAATGAGTGAATGTGTGCTTGTCAGTGAGTGTATGTGTTTGTCAGTGAGAATGTATCTGTTCTTGTCAATGAGAGTGTATATGTGTTGAGTGTATGTCAAAGAGTGGGGGTGGGGGGGTTCCACAATGTTGATACATTATGTCAAAGGGTTCCACAGGAGAAAATAATTGGGAACCCCTGGTCTAGAAAGCATGGGCAAGATTTAAGAAGATTACAAGAATATAACTGTTGAAAAAGTCGAACTGTTCCCTGTAAAAAGTGGTAGTACCCTGCTTGATGCAGGTGGAAAATATGTTGAATGTAGCCATGGAAGACAGCAGGGGAGGACTGGGGGGGCACTTGCCTCCTTCTGGATTTTCCAAATTTCCCCCTACCCACAAGTAATTTTCCCTTGGACTGTGACAGCTCAGTCTGAGGGAAAGAAAGAGGGAGGTGCAGGGGGCCGCATTTAGGCTGCCACGGGACCGCAGGGAGCACTGTGATGCTCCCTCCCAAATCCCCAGCAAGTTGGTGCCTCTATGCTCTGCCCCCACATTCTGGCCCTGCCTCACATACACAAGCCCAGCCCTGGCCCTGCATCTACGCTGCTGACTTTACCTTTTTTCACTGTTATAGATTGAATAGCAGTCAGTGTCCTTAAAGCGGGTGTGTTACGCTAACAGTGGATACGGTGACCAGTGCCACCACTTATATCTGGTGTCACAATAGCTTGGATTTAAAAAAAAAATTACTTTTTTCACTGTTATAGATTGAATAGCAGTCAGTGTCCTTAAAGCGGTGTGTTAAGCTCACAGTGGATACGGTGCCCAGTGCCACCACTCACTGGTGTCACAATAGCTTGCATTTAAAAACAAAAAACTTTTTTCACTGTTATAAATTGAATAGCAGTCAGTGTCCTTAAA